GCTGCAAGATGCTATCTGGTAAGTCCTTCATGTTTGCAACGCGCCATCCGTCAACTGCCAGAGCACGAGTTGTTGACAATCGTCCGATCTGCTGACGGATGTCCTGGATGCAGAGTGCAGGCAACTGACAGGGAAAATGCTTGATGTGCTCACCAGATGTCTGTCTGAAATTATCCCATGAGAAATCAGTGGAACGATTGAACAAAGAAGTCCATTCTTTAGACGCTACATCAACCATGTCAGAAGGTTGAGTATACAGTATACACATCTCCATGTGAATCGCTGATGGCACTCAGCGCTGGTTTCCAATCATCTCTGAGCCACGCATACACGGCCTTGCCTCCACTTCGAAAGCTTTCACGCATTCTTTGACGCCACATTGACATGTGTAGCTTAGCATCGTTCTTTTGCATGTCATCAGCCGATGCTTGCAATCCTTCGATGAGAGGATCGATGTCACTTGGGTCAGTGGGGAGGCGCATGGAAAGATCAGGCAGGTTGAGATAGGCCACATAGGACACCAACTTTTTCCATAACACTTCAGTGTCATGGATGTCTTGGCCTCTGGGCTTAGAAGATGCAAACCGGCACAATTTGACTTGGAGTTCTTTAGCCCTCCTAAGCATCTTATGACACTTATTTTACCGGAAAGTACCAGTGCTTAGTGGTTCCGTTTACTTGCAACAGGGCACGTGGGCGCTTGCATCTTGAACTTGACCCCTCTATGGCGCCCTTTTCACCCTTAATTTGATCGTCAACAGACGTGCATCTGGCTTGTAGGTAAGTTTCTGCGACGTCTGCAAAAACCATCCAAGGTGAGTCAGCATCATTCCTTCTGCGCGCTTGCTCGAAAGCATCGTATTTGTCAGCAATGATACTTTCAGCGATCGCAGTCTTTTGCTGCTCATTCGCTTTAGGCGCTTTGTGCACAGGAAAAGGGCGGGGAAAATGAAGCACAGGAAAACACGGGCACACCTGGTTGATGGCAACAGTGACTTGCAAGCCTAAGTGTCCTTTAGTCGGGAGATTACGGCAGACCTGAAAATTGCTGACAAGAGAAAGGGCTGATTTGTTGGCAAATATAAAATCTGGCCTGGAAACGCCCTTGCCCCAAGAGATTTTGTTCCATTTTTTGGAAGCGCAGTAGGTCGGTTCAGGATTGCCATTTGTAAAAAAGGTACCAAGATCTACCCATATTCCGGTATTTAAAACTGCCTTAAGAACAGGACTGCTCTCGACCGAGGTATTGCAATCTCCACATATGAGGATTGGTTGTTCCCCCATTTGCGAACAGTCTTGAAAGACTCTTTGTAAGAGTCTTTCCTTACTTGACTTGATAATGCCTCTATCTCTGCCTGAATGATTATAGAGATCAATCAAGTGAAGCCAACGCTTTGAAGGAGAAGACTTATTTCCAAGTGGAATGGCGCATCTGGTCCATCGACCAGTTTCGTGAAGGTGAAGAGCATCGGATTGGAAAGTAGTGCAGTTTAGGCCTATAAGCCTACGGCAAACAATCCCGACTCCTCCATGTTTACCGGTACCAGTCGCAGACCGGGAAATGGCATTGTTTTTGGTCCTTATGGGTGGACTCGGGAGTCCCCAATTGCAAACGAAGCCCTTCGATTGAAGAATTTTTGGTTCATCTCTCTGTCCCTTAGCTGTAAGGCGAGTCTCTCGGAGAACGAGTACATCCGCGTCACCCGCGATGAGCGCATCAAGGTGAGGCTTCCAGCTGGTACAGTTCAAGCACAACTGCGTAAAAGACTTGACGCTTGAGTCTGGAGCAGCTGGAGCACCAGTGCTGGCATCAGGTTTAGTTGGTTCCCTTGTTCATCTGACTGAGTTGATCCATGATGGCACTGAAGCCTGTGTCGATTTTTTGCTCGAGACTTGTACTTTTGATCTCGAACGACTGTAGACGCGTCTCGAGAGAGCTGACCCTGGTCTCAAGTGGGCCAGAGGTGCTTGCCTGCGCCGGCATTCTGGAAGGCTGACTAGAAGTTACACTCCGCTGAGGAGCCCTGGGCCTGAACGAAGCTCTGCTGCCAGACTCAGATGTATATGCAGGAGCTTCTTTCTGAATAAGCACACGGGCGCTCTGAGTATGATATACATAACTTGGAGGACTGGCATCTGCAGAAACAACCCAAATGGTCTGGTTTCCAGACACACGCATACTGAGTCCCACCCTTTGCCTGTGCTGTCCTTCCACTGGGCAAAGTGCGCAATGATGTCACGGCGATTCACGCCCAGCGGGAGACCTGTCACCTCGTGCCGGTGTGTCCCTCTGGTTTGTCGATTCGAGTCAGCAAACTTTGTGTCGTTTGGGAAAATGATCGTTCTAGCTTCCGACAGGTGATCTGTTGAAACACGAATCCCGAAATCTGTCTCAGAAATGACAAGACCGAGATGTGTTGGAATCTGCTTGATGACTGCAAGAGACTGCGTGTAGTTCTGCTTCTTGAGCCAGAGCACACTTGTCTCTTCATTGCGCAGGCGGCGGGACTCAGCGTCCCGGCAGTTTTTTGCTGCACAATGAACTGCAAAGTAATGCCACTCGCTGCAAGGATGGCATCAGCATGGTCCTCCGGTACTCTGAAAACTACACGCTGCATTTCATCACTGACCTTAGCCCAGCTGCAGAAACTGACTGTGTCGGCACTCAGGTCCTTGTGCAGTTGGAAGATTGCTGCAGGAAAATTGCTTCTAGCAGAAGATGAGCTGGGTCCAGTCCTTGTCAGTGCGAAAAAGCTTCTTCGTCATGACTGCTGTGAGCTCTCTGGTAGGAGCGATTGTCCACAATGCTTCAGCATCAAGCTTTTTCAACAAGCATGGTTGTGCGCCCAGCTGGCACAGCGTGCACTGCCATTTTCCTGTTAATGGCTCCTTGACGAAAGCCCAATCGACAGACAATGCTGGGCTTTGGAATCCAAGAGGTTCCAACTCTTTGTCCCGTACACCTGGCAAGATCGCGAGAAGTGGTTTCTGACTCCTGATCTTCGCAACGGCAGTGAACGGCTCAAAGGTGAGCAAAACTGCTCCAGTACTTTGCTCAGCAAATGCCTCAGGTCGGAGTTGCAAAACCTGCGGTTCGAACATGGATAGATCGAGTTCTAAATCAACCCATCGAGATCTTGATGGTGTACTGTACTGGCCTTGCTCTTACCTTTGCCTTTGCCCTTGGTTTTCGGACCTTGGACAACATTGGCACTGGAACCACGCCTGTGAATGTAACCTGCCCATGGGTCGGGCATAGAATCAGTAGGGCCTGCGTGTGAAGCTTCACCGACTCGAGAAGCCAGCAATCCACACGTATGCAGAATTCATCTGGAAGTCAAAACAGTTCTGCAAATGCAAAAGGTACGATCGGCAGCAGCATTGCACTTGCGGGTACCTGGCTCAAGAGTCGCACTGCGAAAGGCCTTGTCACTGGTGTGCAAGCGATGGCGCCTGCGGCGCTTTGCAAATCTTCTACCACCAACTCGCATGGCAGCAGACACACGAAAGTGAAAAACACCAGTGTTGGAGAGAAAAGAGCACATGGAAATGACCCAATGCTCAAGCACGGCCCCAGGCAAGAGCGCCATGAAGGGGCACAATACAATCAGGGTGAGAATGAACATGATGTCGGAGATCTCGATGCCCACTCCTTCTGTCAGGCTGCACATGAGAAGCATGAATGCAAAGATAGCGGTGGTCAGTAAGTAGGTTTTACTGTCCTCTGTAGACGACAAGCACTGATTTACTTCAGCGACTTGTCCCCGGGCTCCGCTCAGCCGTAGGGCCTCACCTTCGCCGTGGTTCGAAGGTCCAGCCCAGATGCGTCCGTGCTTCAATTCGGTCTGGCGGCGGCGCTTGAAGTTCTCCACGCTGCCATCGGCGGTGAAGCCTGCGGGATCCCAAAAGTTGGTGTTTGTAGGTGCAAAAACGCCGTAGTGCGTCTGGGCACCTGTGAAACCACGCTCATCCCACACCTGTGCGAAAAAGGTGGGACGAACTCGAAGAGTGTCTTGAAAAACCACGATCATTAACAGCAGAGACGTCAAATTCAGAAGGATTCGCATCACGGAAAGAGGTAGTCTCAGCACTCGTCTTCTTAGGGACTTTGTGCTTGGGTTTCGGAGCAGGAATGAGCAGGACCCAAGCGACGATCACGCATAAGAGGATTGCATTTGGTACGTTTCATATTCAGGCGGTCTTTCCAGTTCCAGGTGGCACCACATCGCTGACAGCATACAATACCCTCATCCTTTGCACCAACAGTCGTACCAATTTGCTTGTTCCACCAGAGAACATGACCCCCCTTGCTGTATTTCTGCCGTAACTCTTCCCTCAAGGTCTCAATACGCGCTGCACTGCGCGAGTAGCCTTCCTCCGACAGCCATTGAGCTTCAGGAAGATCTTTCTGGTCACACTCCTTATACGGTAATCTTCAATTTCACATGTTTCAACCGTGTTACGTAACGGTAAACAGGACAACTGCACTTGCAACACATATTGAAAAGAGCAAACATCTTGTCGAGCATCTCCCCGTAAGCAACACCATATACATGCGATATCATGCGATCAACAACAAACATGTTATTCAAACAGACAGACAGACAGATTACGGGTGTTTACTTAGCTGCCCACAACAAGTAACTGAATCAAGCACATGTCCGCAGCAATAATTAATCCAAGCAGCCCACCCTCCGTTCCTCTCTGAGTCAAACTACTAGCGAACCATTGCTCAAGCCATGCTGTGAAACTGCAGTACGATAACTAAAGGGTTTGGAACGCGACAGAGCCTCTAAACACCAGAAAACAACTGGACTAGACACTTCCTAAGCAAAATTTTTGAGGGGAACGGCGTATGCCTCTATAAACTCTAGGGACGTGCGTCATTCTTCAGTACGGTTGTCTACCTGAACCACTGCTCTAGCTTTCACACATACGACTCTTGCATTCCCTACAGTTCGGTGAAACTTTTAGGCCCTGAACCTTGCTGACCGCAGCCCTCAGTTCGCCCCCCGGCGGCCACCCCCGCCCCCTCTGGAGTTGCCACCCTTGTTTCCCTTGCCTTTGCCCTTCCTCCCACCTTTGCCTTTCCCCCCTCCTCCTCGGCCCGAGGACGACGTTCCCATATCCAATCCTGCCCGCTTACGCTTACGTTCCAGCTCCTCCGGCGTCTTGTCCAAGTACAGGTTAAACGAGGCCTCACCTTTCTCACGAACGGCTTTCACCGCCTTCCCGATCCACTGCCCCAACGCTCCCTGCAATCCCTGTTGCACCCGAAGTGAGGCCTCCCCGAATTCCAGTCTTAGAACAAAATGCCCCGGCGCCCGACGCCACTCTCCAGTAGTCTCGTCTTTCCGGGATCTGGTCTTGTTGGGCGATACGAAGCGGGTGGCACTCAAAAGGGCGGGGGCCCACCCCCACCAAGACACAGTAGCATCGATGCATATGTCAGCATGTTCATTGTTCGAGGCGTGCCATGATTCAGGTGGCACTTCCGGGAGAGGCATGGGCAGTCGAGTCAGAACACTAAGCTCACGTAGGATCGACGCCGCGGCGTCACTGGCTAAGTTTTTAAACTCCCGGGATGCCTCTGCCTTGCTGAAAAGCTCCTCCAGACGACTTCCGTTTTCAATCACGAGATGGGTCGATTTTTCCAATCGGTCCACCCGACGACGCAACGACGAGATCTCGTGCCCCTGCTGTGCCACTTGCTCCCTGAGCTCCCCAACGTCGCCCTGGAGTGCTTTCGTCATCTTGTTCGGCTTACGGTCAGTAGCCATGGCTATGAAACGGATTCGAGCCAAGATCACTGCGTCCCGTGCACATACGACGAAAAACGCGCACTATAACCCCCCCCATACCAAAAACACGGACCCCTTACATGCAACCTCTGCTCATGACCCTGGGGTACAGGCACGTGGCCCGTCCCTACCTAGCCGTGGGTCGTGCCCCGGCTGTCCCCACGTGTGACGTGCACCGTGGCGGGTCTGGCAGGGTTGATACGTTTCGACTATGCGAACCCCACAGCCCCCCCGACAAAAACGGCGCGACGCGCACCCCCCCTCACGCGACCCGACCACCACCGCAGCATCCCCCGCCCCGACCCGAACGGCCCAACGATCGATTTCGAGCGCTTCGCGGATCACACACAGTTGTTCCGAGCTTCATGATTTTTCCGGGCCTGAACAGACCCCAAAACCTTTCCACACCGGATGCATGTTAGATTCGCGTTGCCCGGGCCGCGACAAACGGCCTCGTGTCTCTCCAAGTTTGGCACTATCATTTGTTCTCCACACAACCGACAGTTGCCGAGCGGATGAATTTTGGGTGGCCCCCGCACTCTAGGAGCCGCTGGACACACATGTTCACGCCGCCGTTTTTCAACACGCCATGTTTGGCCACAATCGTCACATGAATACATTTGTACGGTCAGAAGGTCTGGGTCAGCTACCGCATGTTTGTCGTCATAGTGATACTTGAGACTGTTGGCCTTGTCAAAACGGGCAGGACACATCGGGCAGTGATACATGCCCGTTGCTGAGTCTTTGACCATTTGGCGTTCCCGTTTGCGTTTCTCCCGTCTGTATGCGAATTCATGTATGCCCGGGCTTCCGTCTGACAATCGAAACTCGTTCAGCCTACGAATTTTGTTTCGAGAGGGAGATCCCGTGGGAAACTCCGTTACCACCGCCCTTTTCCAAGCTACTCGATCCTGTGCTAATCGAAACCAGTCCAGCTGTGATACTTGAATCTGCGCCAATAAGTATTTGAACCATTGTCCTTGCCTCATTATCGGCCGTTCGCGAATCATATGACCTTTCCAAAAACCAAACGCTGCCTGCTTGGGCAGGCGATGGGTGCCCATTCGTGCCAAGTGTCCGAGCCAAAACAGGCTTTGTCGTGCAATCGTGTGGTGGAAAGGTTCCCATTGCGCGATTTCGTTCAACATTTCCGACGACACATGGTGAGCGCGTTTCCAATGCCTACGCACATTGAGGCATCTCTGGACCGCGTAATCGACTACCTGTTGCATACCGCGTATGCTATCTCGATTCCATGAACGGGATCGCCCAAAACAAGTTAACGTCGGCATTAGTACTGCTTTCATAATTTTGACTCGGATACTGTGTGGCATCTTACTCTGTTGTGATCTAGTACCAAAATGCCATGCCCTGGCAGTTTGTGCTATGCGGAAAAAGCCTTTCGACCTGCGATGCGCGGTATCCGACTGTTGTCCCCCCGTTTCTTGTAGCATTCCCCCCACGTGACGCACCACCGGTAGTTCACCCTTATATCGCACATCAAAAGGCGCCCTTGGTGTAGTGGATACTCGTAAACCTTCCGTTTTTCCTGGGTGGACTTTTTCCCGCCAATCCAACATCGTGTTTTCCAGTAAGGTTTCAGCCGATCGCATTTCTTCCGCCACTCCAATTAAACAAGTGTCATCTGCGAAACCCACGTCTCCCAGTACCGTGTCATGACTATGTCGGAACAGGTGCCCGCGACTGTGAAACTGGTGATCCACCCTGCCGTCCACCTTGACTGTCCACGGCAACCCTGGTTCCAGCCCCAGATTCTGTGCCTGCGCCTGTCTTCGTACTCGGAAATCCTCCATGACCGCTTGATGATAGACATTGAAAAGCGGGGGGCTGGAAGGGCACCCCTCCCGCAAACCTTTATCCGCCGCGTACGATGAGGAATTTCCGCCGTAAACCTTCACTGAATACCTTGTGTGTTCGTGGAGCGCTTGGCAAATCTTGATAAACCCGTTGGGGGCCCCCTTCTTTTTCATTAACATCCACAACGTGTCCCGACTTACTCGCGGATAAGCCTTCTCGATATCAAACAACCGAATCAAAACTACAGAATCATCGGCCTGGCACGCGCTGGCTTCCTCCACAATTCGACGAGTTACCTGCAAAACATCATCCACGCCCCTCCCCTTCCGGAAGCCAGCCTGCGCTTCATGGAGCCAGGGATCCGACCATCTCAGAGTCCTTTGCGCAACCACCCGAGCTAACAACTTGGACCCAACACTCAACAACGTGACTCCCCGCCATGTCGTTTTATCCGCTTTGTTGCCCTTCTTTTTCCAAAGTGGTACAACGCGTCCCTCATTCCAGGCATCTGGCCACGCGTTCGCTTCCATTCCGTTTGGCGCTTGTACCGCAAATCGCCACATTTCCCTCACGACCCCGTTGATTTGCTGAATGAGCATCTGGCTGCCATATTTATAGAACTCGGCCAGGAACCCATCAATTCCTGCTGCTTTCCGATTTTTCATCTTCTTTCCACACTCTAAAATTTCCGCGTCCGTGGGCTCGATAGACAACCAGTGCGCCACCTCCGGATTGGATGCTACGTTTTGCCAAACTCTATCACTAGCTACATCTCTATGTTCCTGAATTTTCCGAAAGTGTTCCTTCCATGCTTCTCTTTCGGCTTCCGGATCCATTACGGTTCTGCTGCTGGATACCGCTCTCTGTTTGAGTCGCTCATCTCGAATGCCTAATTCCTTGTTTAACGCAAAGACTTGGCGCATATCACCATCGACATGCGCCGTTGACACCTCGTTTGTGATCCTGTCAACCCATTCCCACTTCCAACGACGCCGGGTTCGTTTACGCGTTTGGGCCGCTGCTCGGGCCTGTTGAACTGCCGTATCGTACGCCTGCTGCCTGAGAGGAGTGCGTGGTAACACGTCGTCCCTAAAACTGCGACGATGCGCCAACGCATCTGCTACGTCTCTGTCTAACTGTGTATTTTCTCTTTCATGTCCTATCAGATGTGGTTGGTTTTGTTTCCTGGGTACCGGGCCGAAAACTTGTAAACTCGTATCGGCACATGCCGTAGATATCTCACTCCATGTAAGTTGACGTTGGTTACCGCCCAATGCAATCAGTTGTTGGTCTAGTTTCTGGTGCCACTCAGCCTTTTTCTGTTGAGCCTCCTGGCCTGATAACACAATGGATTGCATGTTGGGCATGGGGACATGTCGATTCGTTACTGTGTTTCGCGTTCGAGTCCATTGTGGCCAGAAGTGTACGCATATCTCTATGGGCAAATGATCCGTATAATCATCCCAATAATCCGAAGACCCCCCTTGGTCGCCTCGTCCCCAACGCACCCTCTGGAGCGGGTCACCCGCATTCCCCCGTCTACCCTCATGGACCGTTCTGACAGCGTCCACGAAGCGTCGTTGCGTTTGCTTAGTCAGAAAATGATCTATGGTATGTCCCGTTCTTCGCGCTGGGTGCCACCATGTATGTCGTTTGCGTATCGGTTGATAAAAGAACGTATCCGTTACACTGAGAGCCTCTTGGTCGCAAAAGTCTAAGAGGTCCGTACCGCTGCGGTTTGTACGCTCCCCACCCCAACGCCCTACCACTCGTGGTCTTGTACCGTTCTCCCTCTGTGTGTCAAAATCCGCGTTGAAATCCCCGCCAATGATCAGTATGTCTCGTGAACCTACACCTCTTTTTGCTCGCCGAATTTGGTCCAAAAAATCATCCCGATCCGCCTGTCTAGCGCTGGAGATCGGGCCGTATACCGCGATTAACGCCAGTCCCGCCGTGTGATTATCGCCCGGAATGCGCACCAACAATGCGCGTCCGTTCGACGCCGTGGGTATGAGTTTGTGACAGCCCTGCTGCTCCCACATGGACGCCAGGTTTGCCGCCAGTGCCACCGCCACTTTCCCTGCCACGATGATTTTCCATTTCCCCCCGTTAGGCAAAGCCACCGTATGTACCCCATCCGTTTCGAAGCGGACGTCGGCCAACAGTATGGCATCCCACCCTCGTTTCTCCGCGAGTCGAAGAAGACATACCGTCTTGGTCCACGGATCATATGGCACCCCCGTGCTGCCCCACCGACGAACGTTCCACGCCCCGATACGCCACCGACGGATTTGTCTCCGATGTCGATTGTATGAGCGTCCGCGCCGCACTCGACGAAGTATTGCTAGTCTGCGCAATCTTTTACGTCTAAGGACCGTAGCTCGACGCATCCCTTCAGGACCTATCGCCAAGCATGTTCGAGCCTAAAGACTACCAGCTAAGAAGATGAGGAAGGAGTCTCAGGGGTGTAGTACGCAACGTCGCGACCGCCACGATGTGTCCCGAAATCACGTGTTTCGTCCGACTGCCCACCCAAAAACAGTCCGACACGATAGCCTCCGCTGCTTTGGGCGGAACCGTTCAGCTCACGCATCCGGGCCCCAACACCCAAAGCAGCATGCGGATTACCCCCGTCCAGGCCCCAAAACTGAAAGAAACCAGCTGGAGACTACCGTTAGGTTGTGGGGTCCCGTCGCCTCCGCATCAGACGACCAATCCGAAAGCCTACAACAATGGCGAACACCTTGCGGCATGGGTTAGCCAGGGGGGGTTGTGCACCTGCTTTGGTGCTTCCGCCATCGTGCTTCTCCGATTGCAGAGTTCACAACATGTCATGGACAAATGTTAAGTGCAATCCACGGCCCATCATTTTTTGCTTGCATCTAAGCCCCCTGTTACCAGCGATCACCACGAGGAGGTTCCCCACGTCGTTCGAACATGTTATTCAAACAGACAGACAGACAGACAGATTACGGGTGTTTACTTAGCTGCCCACAACACGTAACTGAATCAAGCACATGTCCGCAGCAATAATTAATCCAAGCAGCCCACCCTCCGTTCCTCTCTGAGTCAAACTACCAGCGAACCATTGCTCAAACCATGCTGTGAAACTGCAGTACGATAACTAAAGGGTTTGGAACGCGACAGAGCCTCTAAACACCAGAAAACAACTGGACTAGACACTTCCTAAGCAAAATTTTTGAGGGGAACGGCGTATGCCTCTATAAACTCTAGGGACGTGCGTCATTCTTCAGTACGGTTGTCTACCTGAACCACTGCTCTAGCTTTCATACATACGACTCTTGCATTCCCTACAGTTCGGTGAAACTTTTAGGCCCTAGGCCTTGCTGACCGCAGCCCTCAGTTCGCCCCCCGGCGGCCACCCCCGCCCCCTCTGGAGTTGCCACCCTTGTTTCCCTTGCCTTTGCCCTTCCTCCCACCTTTGCCTTTCCCCCCTCCTCCTCGGCCCGAGGACGACGTTCCCATATCCAATCCTGCCCGCTTACGCTTACGTTCCAGCTCCTCCGGCGTCTTGTCCAAGTACAGGTTAAACGAGGCCTCACCTTTCTCACGAACGGCTTTCACCGCCTTCCCGATCCACTGCCCCAACGCTCCCTGCAATCCCTGTTGCACCCGAAGTGAGGCCTCCCCGAATTCCAGTCTTAGAACAAAATGCCCCGGCGCCCGACGCCACTCTCCAGTAGTCTTGTCTTTCCGGGATCTGGTCTTGTTGGGCGATACGAAGCGGGTGGCACTCAAAAGGGCGGGGGCCCACCCCCACCAAGACACAGTAGCATCGATGCATATGTCAGCATGTTCATTGTTCGAGGCGTGCCATGATTCAGGTGGCACTTCCGGGAGAGGCATGGGCAGTCGAGTCAGAACACTAAGCTCACGTAGGATCGACGCCGCGGCGTCGCTGGCTAAGTTTTTAAACTCCCGGGATGCCTCTGCCTTGCTGAAAAGCTCCTCCAGACGACTTCCGTTTTCAATCACGAGATGGGTCGATTTTTCCAATCGGTCCACCCGACGACGCAACGACGAGATCTCGTGCCCCTGCTGTGCCACTTGTTCCCTGAGCTCCCCAACGTCGCCCTGGAGTGCTTTCGTCATCTTGTTCGGCTTACGGTCAGTAGCCATGGCTATGAAACGGATTCGAGCCAAGATCACTGCGTCCCATGCACATACGACGAAAAACGCGCACTATAACCCCCCCCATACCAAAAACACGGACCCCTTACAGGCAACCTCTGCTCATGACCCTGGGGTACAGGCACGTGGCCCGTCCCTACCTAGCCGTGGGTCGTGCCCCGGCTGTCCCCACGTGTGACGTGCACCGTGGCGGGTCTGGCAGGGTTGATACGTTTCGACTATGCGAACCCCACAGCCCCCCCGACAAAAACGGCGCGACGCGCACCCCCCCCTCACGCGACCCGACCACCACCGCAGCATCCCCCGCCCCGACCCGAACGGCCCAACGATCGATTTCGAGCGCTTCGCGGATCACACACAGTTGTTCCGAGCTTCATGATTTTTCCGGGCCTGAACAGACCCCAAAACCTTTCCACACCGGATGCATGTTAGATTCGCGTTGCCCGGGCCGCGACAAACGGCCTCGTGTCTCTCCAAGTTTGGCACTATCATTTGTTCTCCACACAACCGACAGTTGCCGAGCGGATGAATTTTGGGTGGCCCCCGCACTCTAGGAGCCGCTGGACACACATGTTCACGCCGCCGTTTTTCAACACGCCATGTTTGGCCACAATCGTCACATGAATACATTTGTACGGTCAGAAGGTCTGGGTCAGCTACCGCATGTTTGTCGTCATAGTGATACTTGAGACTGTTGGCCTTGTCAAAACGGGCAGGACACATCGGGCAGTGATACATGCCCGTTGCTGAGTCTTTGACCATTTGGCGTTCCCGTTTGCGTTTCTCCCGTCTGTATGCGAATTCATGTATGCCCGGGCTTCCGTCTGACAATCGAAACTCGTTCAGCCTACGAATTTTGTTTCGAGAGGGAGATCCCGTGGGAAACTCCGTTACCACCGCCCTTTTCCAAGCTACTCGATCCTGTGCTAATCGAAACCAGTCCAGCTGTGATACTTGAATCTGCGCCAATAAGTATTTGAACCATTGTCCTTGCCTCATTATCGGCCGTTCGCGAATCATATGACCTTTCCAAAAACCAAACGCTGCCTGCTTGGGCAGGCGATGGGTGCCCATTCGTGCCAAGTGTCCGAGCCAAAACAGGCTTTGTCGTGCAATCGTGTGGTGGAAAGGTTCCCATTGCGCGATTTCGTTCAACATTTCCGACGACACATGGTGAGCGCGTTTCCAATGCCTACGCACATTGAGGCATCTCTGGACCGCGTAATCGACTACCTGTTGCATACCGCGTATGCTATCTCGATTCCATGAACGTGATCGCCCAAAACAAGTTAACGTCGGCATTAGTACTGCTTTCATAATTTTGACTCGGATACTGTGTGGCATCTTACTCTGTTGTGATCTAGTACCAAAATGCCATGCCCTGGCAGTTTGTGCTATGCGGAAAAAGCCTTTCGACCTGCGATGCGCGGTATCCGACTGTTGTCCCCCCGTTTCTTGTAGCATTCCCCCCACGTGACGCACCACCGGTAGTTCACCCTTATATCGCACATCAAAAGGCGCCCTTGGTGTAGTGGATACTCGTAAACCTTCCGTTTTTCCTGGGTGGACTTTTTCCCGCCAATCCAACATCGTGTTTTCCAGTAAGGTTTCAGCCGATCGCATTTCTTCCGCCACTCCAATTAAACAAGTGTCATCTGCGAAACCCACGTCTCCCAGTACCGTGTCATGACTACGTCGGAACAGGTGCCCGCGACTGTGAAACTGGTGATCCACCCTGCCGTCCACCTTGACTGTCCACGGCAACCCCGGTTCCAGCCCCAGATTCTGTGCCTGCGCCTGTCTTCGTACTCGAAAATCCTCCATGACCGCTTGATGATAGACATTGAAAAGCGGGGGGCTGGAAGGGCACCCCTCCCGCAAACCTTTATCCGCCGCGTACGATGAGGAATTTCCGCCGTAAACCTTCACTGAATACCTTGTGTGTTCGTGGAGCGCTTGGCAAATCTTGATAAACCCGTTGGCGGCCCCCTTCTTTTTCATTAACATCCACAACGTGTCCCGACTTACTCGCGGATAAGCCTTCTCGATATCAAACAACCGAATCAAAACTACAGAATCATCGGCCTGGCACGCGCTGGCTTCCTCCACAATTCGACGAGTTACCTGCAAAACATCATCCACGCCCCTCCCCTTCCGGAAGCCAGCCTGCGCTTCATGGAGCCAGGGATCCGACCATTTCAGAGTCCTTTGCGCAACCACCCGAGCTAACAACTTGGACCCAACACTCAACAACGTGACTCCCCGCCATGTCGTTTTATCCGCTTTGTTGCCCTTCTTTTTCCAAAGTGGTACAACGAGTCCCTCATTCCAGGCATCTGGCCACGCGTTCGCTTCCATTCCGTTTGGCGCTTGTACCGCAAATCGCCACATTTCCCTCACGACCCCGTTGATTTGCTGAATGAGCATCTGGCTGCCATATTTATAGAACTCGGCCAGGAACCCATCAATTCCTGCTGCTTTCCCGTTTTTCATCTTTTTTCCACACTCTAAAATTTCCGCGTCCGTGGGCTCGATAGACAACCAGTGCGCCACCTCCGGATTGGATGCTACGTTTTGCCAAACTCTATCACTAGCTACCTCTCTATGTTCCTGAATTTTCCGAAAGTGTTCCTTCCATGCTTCTCTTTCGGCTTCCGGATCCATTACGGTTCTGCTGCTGGATACCGCTCTCTGTTTGAGTCGCTCATCTCGAATGCCTAATTCCTTGTTTAACGCAAAGACTTGGCGCATATCACCATCGACATGCGCCGTTGACACCTCGTTTGTGATCCTGTCAACCCATTCCCACTTCCAACGACGCCGGGTTCGTTTACGCGTTTGTGCCGCTGCTCGGGCCTGTTGAACTGCCGTATCGTACGCCTGCTGCCTGAGAGGAGTGCGTGGTAACACGTCGTCCCTAAAACTGCGACGATGCGCCAACGCATCTGCTACGTCTCTGTCTAACTGTGTATTTTCTCTTTCATGTCCTATCAGATGTGGTTGGTTTTGTTTCCTGGGTACCGGGCCGAAAACTTGTAAACTCGTATCGGCACATGCCGTAGATATCTCACTCCATGTAAGTTGACGTTGGTTACCGCCCAATGCAATCAGTTGTTGGTCTAGTTTCTGGTGCCACTCAGCCTTTTTCTGTTGAGCCTCCTGGCCTGATAACACAATGGATTGCATGTTGGGCATGGGGACATGTCGATTCGTTACTGTGTTTCGCGTTCGAGTCCATTGTGGCCAGAAGTGTACGCATATCTCTATGGGCAAATGATCCGTATAATCATCCCAATAATCCGAAGACCCCCCTTGGTCGCCTCGTCCCCAACGCACCCTCTGGAGCGGGTCACCCGCATTCCCCCGTCTACCCTCATGGACCGTTCTGACAGCGTCCACGAAGCGTCGTTGCGTTTGCTTAGTCAGAAAATGATCTATGGTATGTCCCGTTCTTCGCGCTGGGTGCCACCATGTATGTCGTTTGCGTATCGGTTGATAAAAGAACGTATCCGTTACACTGAGAGCCTCTTGGTCGCAAAAGTCTAAGAGGTCCGTACCGCTGCGGTTTGTACGCTCCCCACCCCAACGCCCTACCACTCGTGGTCTTGTACCGTTCTCCCTCTGTGTGTCAAAATCCGCGTTGAAATCCCCGCCAATGATCAGTATGTCTCGTGAACCTACGCCTCTTTTTGCTCGCCGAATTTGGTCCAAAAAATCATCCCGATCCGCCTGTCTAGCGCTGGAGATCGGGCCGTATACCGCGATTAACGCCAGTCCCGCCGTGTGATTATCGCCCGGAATGCGCACCAACAATGCGCGTCCGTTCGACGCCGTGGGTATGAGTTTGTGACAGCCCTGCTGTTCCCACATGGACGCCAGGTTTGCCGCCAGTGCCACCGCCACTTTCCCTGCCACGATGATTTTCCATTTCCCCCCGTTAGGCAAAGCCACCGTATGTACCCCATCCGTTTCGAAGCGGACGTCGGCCAACAGTATGGCATCCCACCCTCGTTTCTCCGCGAGTCGAAGAAGACATACCGTCTTGGTCCACGGATCATATGGCACCCCCGTGCTGCCCCAACGACGAACGTTCCACGCCCCGATACGCCACCGACGGATTTGTCTCCGATGTCGATTGTATGAGCGTCCGCGCCGCACTCGACGAAGTATTGCTAGTCTGCGCAATCTTTTACGTCTGAGGACCGTAGCTCGACGCATCCCTTCAGGACCTATCGCCAAGCATGTTCGAGCCTAAAGACTACCAGCTAAGAAGATGAGGAAGGAGTCTCAGGGGTGTAGTACGCAACGTCGCTACCGCCACGATGTGTCCCGAAATCACGTGTTTCGTCCGACTGCCCACCCAAAAACAGTCCGACACGATAGCCTCCGCTGCTTTGGGCGGAACCGTTCAGCTCACGCATCCGGGCCCCAACACCCAAAGCAGCATGCGGATTACCCCCGTCCAGGCACCAAAACTGAAAGAAACCAGCTGGAGACTACCGTTAGGTTGTGGGGTCCCGTCGCCTCCGCATCAGACGACCAATCCGAAAGCCTACAACAATGGCAAACACCTTGCGGCATGGGTTGGCCAGGGGGGGTTGTGCACCTGCTTTGGTGCTTCCGTCATCGTGCTTCTCCGATTGCAGATTTCACAACATGTCATGGACAAATGTTAAGTGCAATCCACGGCCCATCATTTTTTTGCTTGCATCTAAGCCCCCTGTTACCAGCGATCACCACGAGGAGGTTCCCCACGTCGATCGCCAACATGTTATTCAACGAAGTCGCTCGGGAGTGATGTATCCCATTGTCGCTGCTGCTGCTGCTGTAGACTTCGTCGCCCTCGAGAGAGCATGAAATGCCAAAAAGTGAAACATACGATCCATCCATGACCCTGTAGCCCCACGGCCATGAAAAGGCGTATTCCAAGCGACAGTCGTCGCCAAAACTTCAGCTGAAAGAAAGTGCTCCACGTTGTCAAAGAAGACAGAAGTGAAAGTAAAGTAAGAAAAACAAAGCCCTTGTAGTGAACCCCAGGCTCCCCAAACTCATCGCGCAGCTTGCACCACCACGCATGAGCCTCGTCCCCAGCTTCGCGCACTCAGCGTCGTCTCTCACGGTAGTCACGGTCTCTGCCACGGCGAGGGTCGTCACGTCGACTGTCACGTCGACTGTCGCGTCTGTCGTCAGCTGCACCGTTGTCACGTCCTTCACCACGGCCACCACGGTCACCTCCAGGTAGTGGAACTCCAGCGGCACGAGCTGCTGTCTGGGCTGCACGTTCTGGCCTGGCCGACGCGCGGCGGTAGCAAAAGTCACCGTAGGAGAAGGCCTGCAACTCGAAGGCGAAAGCTTGTAGCGCTTTGGTGCCGTGCTCCAAGAAGGCGAAGTCAAGGCTAGCACGCCAAACCCGGCCTCTGTCGTCCTCCGCCGGCTCCCTGGTGTGGAAGTGCGTACTGTGAAGGACCGCTGCACCTTCCACCGAGTAGAGTCCTTGCACCGTCTGCACAGCAAGCTGACAGCGTCCAGCTTCAGTCGCAGCCGAAGCACGTTTCTTGAGCGTCTCAAGCAACCAGTTCCACAGCTGGGCCTTCCACGACCGAGAAGCAGCTGAGCACCCTTCTGCAGCACGCTGGGCTGCTTCGTCAGCTGGGTCCACGACTGCTCCGCCAGCTGCAGGCTGCACACGAGGCTTTTTGCCACCAGTGTCCTTGTCCTTCTTGTCCAAGTGGTCATTGAACAGTTTCTGCACCTCATCCAAGCACTCACCACGCAGGTGCAAGATGATTTGGTGCTTGCTCTTCTCCTGCTGTAGGTCGCGGTCAGTGAGCAAAGCCAGCTCAGTGGTGAGCCTGCAACTGCGCTCCACCGCCTCAAGGCGACGCAGCAAGTCGTCGTGGTGTCGAGCCATGGCCAACAAGCAGGAGGCGTACGAAGCTTGATCCCCTGATCATCGATGCATCAAGTCAAGACGCCAGTCCGTCATGACACTGCAAAGGCCCTGTCGCACTTCGCGACACAATGCAACGATGAGCTTGTAAGCATTATGCATGAGACTTACGCCTGTGTACACCCAATGCTCGCGTGTTGTCGAAAAGCTCTCCACAGTCAACACAAGGCAGCTTCCAGGTCCCATTTCTCTGTCGTATTGCACCAGAGCCCGGTCTAGCCAGGCATTGCGTGGCCTCATGCCTGCCCAGCTGTGAAGCGGAAAGGAATGTCATGTTACATCCTGGTCTCTGACAAACGTGGTTCCTAGCTGCAGAAGAACGCGCGCCGCTGCGCGCAGCTGCAGGTGGCGGACCTGCTTCCGCCGCAGGGTTGCCCTCACACCGCTTTTCATGAGTCGTGCAATAACCTTTGTGCAGAAAAACTCGTTGGCAGAACTGACAAAAGTAATGCTGCGCATGAATGGCATGTTTGACGTTGAGGTGATGCGAGAGGCCCGCCTTATTGCGTGCAACATATTGACATCCAGTCACAGGGCATTGGAGCGGCACTGCTTGAGCACCAGGCGCATCAGGGAAGCGAGCTCGTCCTGGTCGAAGAGCGTAGGCCTCATCCGCAGCCATCTGTCGCCATTGTCGCAAGCATTGAGATGCGTCCGTGCTTCAGCTCGGTCTGGCGGCGTCGCTTGAAGTTCTCCACGCTACCATCGGCGGTGAAGCCTGCTGGATCCCAGAAGTTGGTGTTTGCATGTGCAAAGACGCCGAACTGCGTCTGGGCACCAGTGAAACCACGCTCATCCCACACCTGTGCGAAAACGGTGAGATGATATACCCGAGGAAGAAGCAGCATTACCTCCTTCATCTGGTTTTGAATTCTCCACACCCACATCATCACGACGACCCTTAGCACTCTTCTTAGAAGAAACCTTTGGGTTCGGCGCTCTCGAAGCGCCAGGTTGAGCATTAACACTTCCACTGAGTACACACAAAGCACGTGGCAGAGCAGTCATTCTGTCTTTCCAACGCCACCACTTCTGACACTTGCTGCATCGAACAATGCCCTCGTCCTCTGCGCCGATAGTTTTGCCGATTTTCTGGTTCCAGACGAGCTCATGGTTGTGCTTGTTGTACCGCAAGTTCATTTCATCTTCAAGCTTCTTGTAGCGGTTAGGATTTCTCATCGCTCCCTCAACTTCCAACCACTGCGACTGAGGTAGGTCAGCAAACTCGCACTTCGAATGAGTGATTTTGAGGCGGATATGCTTGTGAAGGCCAACATAACGTCCGCATTTTCTGCACCACACTCCTTCTGCGTTTAACCGGGGCTGAAGCACGTGACCATTATCTTCCGTAGAGCTAGGGGGCTCTGGAGGACCATCATCAACAGTGACATCCGCCTTAACAGTTTTGGGTGGAGCCTTTCCTTGGTGCCAGTCCTTTATGTACGTTTGCCAAACTTCAACCAACATACGCTGCACTGAAACAACTGTAGACGGTGAAAGTCGCGAACGCTGAGAGGCAAGACCAGAGTACCTCGTACACAAAGGGAGTTTCTTGCCCTTGTTGGGAATGTTCTTCAAATACGGCCTGCGAATGGAGTCATAGTTCGGGCAATCCCAAGAAATATGCATAACAGTTTGCTTCGCACCACATGAGCATGGAGTATCTTTGATCTTTCTGTGACGGGCGTTGCGCTCCTCAGACAAGAGACCACCCGTAAGAAGCCTTCGCAGAACCCCAAGTTTTGCCCGCGCATCATCCACGCTAGCTGCATACCCCTCGGTCTCAACCCAATCTTCAACATCAGCCAAAACAGAAAGTTCTTTGTATAACGCCATGGTCTTTTCCATATCAACATTACCCAAATCGCTGTAGTGCTGTGGCCTATCACCAGTTGCCTTGTTCCACAAAAAGCACCGCCAACTGTTTCGAAGTCTGTGGGCCCACTCCTGCTCATTTAGTGTCACGTTCCCAATCATCTCACGTACCAGAGGTCCAAAGGTAGTATGCTCAACAAGTTCACGCAAACGCTGCGTTGGACCATCTTTGTGCGATGAAGGCAGTTGCAAAATACGCCTTTTGACCGTCTCCGCAAAAGCCTTATTTCGCATACAGCGGGTAACAGTACGCAAACCGTGATAGACCGGGCCAAAAAAGGGGTCCAACTGAGGAGGAAGAAGAAGAGAAAATGTCAGAGGCACTGAAAACGAATAAAAATCACACTTGAACATAGTGCGCATAATGTCAGAGCGGATCTTCTTGAGGTAGTCCACATCACAGGTGAACGAGTGCGTACCCTGACCCCAGAGGGCTTGCGTTTGCGTAGCCAAAAGCATTTTGGCTTTGCCCTTCCATGGAATAGGTGCATATCGCAAGCGTCGGATTGTGTTGTGCCATTTATCGAAACGCTTCACTTCAAGCTCTGTCAAAGAAACAGCGCGTTGACGAACAGTAAAGGATCCACCCACCAAGCGGAAAGTTTCACAGTGATCGTATTGGTCATGAAGGATACCGCGTAGACTTGGGTCACCAAAGGTAAACGTTTTTGGCACGGAGATGACCCCCCCATCAGCATCCTCATAGGCCTTGACCAGCATATGGAAACGACGAATACTGTTTTGTAGCTGTTTACGCGTAGAAGCTTTAGCCACTCCCGAAACATCGTCAGCATACGTCCTCGCTGTAACTTCTGGCACAACTGATTCCGCAATCTCAGGCAATACACCAACAATGGCATTAAGCCCAATCATGCTCAAGGCGCATCCCTGTAGAATACCATTAGAGGCTCGCCAAAAACCAGTGCACGATCCGCGTAGCCGAAAGACACGCTCAAGTCCATCATACATGCCCCGCATGGCACGCAATAGATTGGCATGAGCACCCCGGTGTTTCATGGCAAGTAGCATAGTATCCACCGGCACCAAACCAAATGCTTTCTTAAAATCGAAGGAAATACCTCCAACCAGTTGGCATTCACCATACATGTCAGCTTCGAGGTCGAGTGCTATGTCCATGGCCATCGCCTCCGCCCCGCGTCGCGGTCTACATCCCCATATTTGTTCATGTGCCCATCCCTCTTGCCACTGAAGCGCAATACCGAACCGATGACGCGACCAAAGACGATAAACTGCCGATAAAACAGATATCGGTCTAAAATCGGTGGGGGAAGGGTCATCGGACATACCAGGTTTAGGCACGAGAGCTGTGTAACCCCGCAATAACGAAGTAGGCCAGATACCAGTCCGTTCAATGTGATTGAGAATACATGCAAGTGGTTCATACACCGCTGGCGCCCAATATGATAATGCACGCAGTTCTTCCGGTCTCCACTGATCAAGACTCCCCGCGCTCGTCTTCAATGATCGTGCCGTAGCAATCAAAGACTCACCAGTGATGTCTGGATAATCCATGTGCGCACTTTTCATATAACCACCGAAACGCTCGAAAAACTCCTTCGTCTTCGCCTTCTTGTTCGCAAACTTGTTGAAGATAGGCCTCCACGCATCAAGGATAGATCTCAACTGTTGTTCTTCATTTGCAGTGTATGTGTCATCATCCATACGCATGAGACATGTGTCGGATTGCCCGCCGCTTTTCAACCACTTGTAAGTGCAAGCTTCCGACGATTGTAGCTTACGCTTCCAGGCATTGATCCTTGCATACTTGTTCTGTGTAGTCAACTTTTGAATACAGTTGCGGAGTAAAGACGCAATACGCATAGAGCCCGATTGCGACAAAGGTTGGCAAAGTTGGTCACGCAGTTCTTGATGCCATTGATCCGGTACGTCACTCAGGACCTTAGCAAGGTTTGCCCAAGTACGTTCGGCCCGATAACCAAAAGCCTTCATACGGGTAAGTTCCTCAGCACGTTGAAGAGCACATGAAAGTCGCCGAATTTGTAGAGTCATGACATTCGCCGTCCTCGCCCTAGGAAAACGTGCCAGTTTCTGGAATCGAACATGTCCACGACCAGAGTCCGGGATGTTACCACTACGAGCACTGTTAACTGGGATCTTTGCAAGCGCCTCCTCAGCAAATTTAGACCACTGCCAAAAAGCTCCATCCACATCTCCTTTCTCCAACAATGGAAGAATGTTGATATCCGCCGTCTCAACATGTTTATCCGATCCCTCAACAAAGGTTTGAAACTCCAATTTTTGCCCAACAGTCCTCGCAATGTAGCGCACCTGAGCACCAACAGGCTGGGTCATACAAACACTGATGGCCGAGTGATCGCTGTGAACCGTAGTCGCTCGAACTTCATAAGAAGACATAAGGGCAGAAGCAGACTTGTTGACAAAGCCCAGATCAATCCTCGAACCTTTTCCTTTGTGACTTGTGTGCGAGTTGTCCAGCCCACCGTAGCCCCAATAGGCAGTGTCCAACCATCCTCCACGTGCGAGGGAGTTCAAGTAGTCACATTCAGGAATCTGCATGTTGAAGTCACCGATGACAAGTGTAGGAACATCCCCTCGTGACACCGCATCCTCGAAGATACCCTTTAACATACTAGTTAAAGCTCTCTTTTTCTCAGCCTCCCAGCGCGCTCCAGCATGACCATATACACAATAAATGATAACTGATCGTTTTCCCGCTCCACGAAAAAGTTCAACCGCAACTAATCGCCCGTCACGGAAAGCCTTCAAGCAAGGACCCTTCTCAAAAACAATGGGCCTAACAGCCCAAGCAGCTTTTGTCCTAACCATAATCGCCACCCCCGTACGCGAAGAAGAAGGCTGAGCATGGCCCCATACAATGTTCCAGTCTTTGTTGTCGGGGATAAGAAGCTTTTGATTGTTCATAGTAGCGTGCGTCTCAGTCAAAGCAAGGACGTCAGCGTCCAAAGAACAGATCGCTGGAAATTTCCCAACGCTGCTAATACCATTAACGTTGTGCGCGAGCACCTTGAAAAGGGTGTTGCCTCGTAGTGCATGAAGAAGTTGATTACGTGCAGCTGCCAAGCATTCGATGTATGAAAACGAAAAGGTAGAGGACAACAATAAAAGAGAAGCTCCCCATTGGATCCTGTTATGACGACCAACGTGCGAGAAGGAAGATCCCATACACCATTGCTTAACAGAAAGACAAAGACAAAGGTCCCGATGGTCAACGACGCGGGGAAAAACATCCATGTGTGAAACTGAACGGCTCTGTTCAACGGTTCTTGCCCGAAAAGCCCTAGGCGACCAAACCACCATTTGAGGAGTAGCGCGCCCTCGTAGTGCACAAAGTCTTGCAACCACCATGCAGTGAAATAGTGAAACCTCTTCCCACTCACCATCCTGTTCACTGACCCTCCTTGCGCTCCTTGGGCGGAGGAGTCTGACCCGTGTGTGCCCCATCATGCTGCCTGACTTGCCCACCCTTGGGATCTGCCTGAGCATTAAGTCGCTGTAGAAAAGCACGCTGACGAATTTCACGAGGCTCACGCGGTGCTGGAAAAATACCACTCGCTGATGTACTCGCTTCTCTTTCTTGGCGCTGCATCCCCCTCGCCACCGCATTGAGAGCCTTGAATTTGACCTGCTGTCCCTGACCCGCATCCATGAAGTACATTGGCAGATCACACCCACGGTTTGATGAATGAAACACAGCCTCTTTGGAATCCATGTACAACACATTAA